CGCTGCGCTGCGCTGGACGCGGGCGCGCCCCGGGGCTGCCGGCTGGGGCGTGGGGTCCCCTTTTGCGTCCGCACCTGCCCTTCCTGGGCCCTGCAGGGGTCCCGGGGACAGTGCCCCCCTGCCTTGGGGTCTCTCTCCCATCTATCGTCCCAATCCCTCACTCCTTTCTTGCTCTCTACTTCCATCCCTCGCACCCGCGTCTCGGAAGGGTCTCCAGCAGAGGTGACGACCGTGCCCCGCTCCCTCCGCACCTCGGGCCTCCCCTGCCCGCGTCTCACCCCCGGCTTCCCCCGGACGCGTCGGTGCTGCTCTGGGCAACCGGGCCCCCTCCCCCGCGCGCGCCCGCGCACTCCCTGCGCACCGGGCGCTCCCGCAACGCGGAGGAGCCGGGGTCAGGGCTTCGTTCTCCGCAGTCTGAGCGCCGTCAGCCTTCCAGCGGCCACGCGCGCAGCCCGCCGACGTGCGCGAGGACTTTGGTGGGCATCGGAATGACGGGCGCTCTCCTTGGGGGGGAAAGGGGGGCAGACTGAGCCCCAGCAGCTGCCTCTGCCCCCCTGACCAAGGCCGCTATTGCCATTTTACTGAGGGAAACCGGTGCAGCCAGGAAGGGACTTCACTGAGGCTACCCCGAAAGGGCCATTCATTCACATGACCACCTGCCAGCAAGTACTGGACACCTATTCTGTGCTAAGCCCTGTTTCAGGCGCTGGAGATAGAAGGATGCAGACACTGCCACCTCTGTCCCCTTCTTCGTTCCTCCCTTCTCCTCTGCCAGCCTGTCGTCTCATTATGCAACTTTCTTTCGGGGAGTTTTACCCCTGGTTTAACCACAGCATGCTCCTTGGTAATTACCACCCTCTGTCTTCAACCCAGCCATGATGTGAGAGTCCCAGATCCCCATATTTCCACCCTTTATCAGCCTGGCTGGGCCTCGAGGCACCCTAAAACTCAGCATATTCTACCTAAATCAAGTTCAGGACACTCTCTTCCTGTGACCTCCACCTGAGAACACATTGCCCCAGACCCTTCCTGCATCAGCCTGCCTTATGCCCCCCCACTTGGTAATTCTCTCATCTAACCCTGGATTTCCCTCTCCTACCGGAATCCCAGGGCATTTAACACTATTTGCACTTGTCTATAGGGTGTCCCCCCAAAGTGTATACACACCTAACAGCCGATAGCTCAGCTGGTGTTTCATCCTGGCTGTGTGCCTTAGACAAGTTGCCCTCTCTGGGCTTATTTTCTTCATAAATGGAGATAATAACAGCAACTTTGATTTCGAAAGGTTGCTTTATAAACTATGAGAGTTAATGCTCAGAGAGTACTTAACACAAAGCTCTGGCACATAGTAAACAATCAGTAAATATTTCCTTTTGCAATTAAATGCAAAATGCTCCGAGTGGCAGGAGCAGTGGGGGAAGCCTTCACCCAGGAGGTGGCATTTGAACTGAGACTTCAAGGCTAAGTAAAAATTTGCCAGGCAAGCAGTGGCAGCCAGTCAAATTCACCAATGAATACGAAAATATTAAAATTGTTGAGAAAAAAAAGTCTCAAGATAATTCAGGAATACTGGAGACTGAAGTACAGCAACAAAAAAGCCTAAATAAATGGAGAGATTATACCAAGTTCATGGATAGGAAGACTAAACATTGTAAAGATTTTCATTCCTCTCAAATTAATCTATATGTTCATTTCAATTCCAATTAAAGTCCCCAAAGAATTTTTATTTAAGAAGCTAAATCTAAAATTCAGCATTTTTCTTGATTTTTAGAGAGAGAGAAAGGGAGAATAAGAGAGAAACATCTACCGGTTGCCTCCTGCATGCACCCTGACCGGGAATCGAACCCACAACCTGGGTATGTGCCTTGACTGGGAATCAAGCAGGCGACCCATTAGCGCGTGGTGCCATGCTCAACCAACTGACCCATATGGGCCAGCGCTAAAATTCAAACTTTTGCAAGGAGCCAAGAGTAGTTAGGACAGTTCAGGAGGGGAAATTGCCTATCAGAATTCAAGATTCACAAAGTTACAGTAATTAATGTAATCATTAACTATTGGTATGAGGATAGAAAAATAGATCAGTAGCATAGAATAAAGAGCTTAGAAACAGAACCCTGCTTTCGTAGAAACTTGATATACAAGAGAGATTGCATGGACTATTTGGTGCCTCCTGGCAGCTGCCGGACTAATTAGTTTTTAGGGTAGAGACATTTTCCTTTCACTAAATATGTTAAACACATAAGAAAATTTTGATCATAACATGAAATAATTTAATAAACTTATTTCTTCTTTTTTAGTCATGAGTCATTTAATTATTCCCAAAAGCTGAAATGAGAGTTGTTTATGCATGCAAATTTTTACCAAAGAAACACTTTGCTTTTGTCATACTCCCATTTCACAAATAACTGATCATTTTAGCCACATATTACATCACATGATAACAAATCCTCTCTAATATTTGTTTTTTCTTGTCTTTGTGATAATAGCCACTCTGACAGGTGTGAGGCCATATCTCATTGTAATTTTGGTTGCACTTGCCTGATGAGTAATGACATTGAGCATCTTTTCAGTGCCTGTTGGCTACCTGTATGTCTTTTTTGGAAAAATGTCTATTCAGATCCTCTGCCCATTTTTAAATGGATTGTTTGGGGTGTTTGTGTGCCATTTGTTATTGAGTTGTATGAGTTCTTTGGATATTAACCCTTTATTAGATGTATGATTTGCAAATATCTTCTCCCATTCAGCTGGTTACCTTTCCTCTTGATGTTTTCCTTTGCTGTGCAGAAGCTTTTGAGTTTAATGTCCCACTTGTTTATTTCACTTTTGTTGCCCTTGCCTTTGGAGTCAGGTAAAAAAAAATCATTACCAAGACCAATTTCAGGGAGTTTGCCACCTATATTTTTTCCAGAGTTCTATGGTTTCAGGTTTTATGTTCATGTCTTTAATCCAGCAATTTTCAACCTCTTTCATCTCATGGCACACATAAACTAATTACTAAAATTCTGTGGCACACCAAAAATATATTATCTTTTATGCCAATCTGACCAAAAAATAGGTATACTTTTGATTCCTTCACACCAGGTGGCTATTGTTGCGTTGGCTGTCGTCAGTTTTTTATTTAACAATCTAAGGGAAAAGAGGTCAGTGTCCTTGACTGAAAAGTCAGGCATTGCATGTTTTAAAAACTCTTGCAGTACACTGGTTGAAGAAGCACTGCTTTAACCCATTTTGAGTTAACTTTTGTGTATGGTGTAGATAGCAGTCCAGTTTCACTCTTTTGCATGTGACTTTCCAGTTTTCCCAACACCACTTATTGAAGAGACTGTCCTTTCTCCCATTGTACATTCTTGCCTCCTGTGTCATATATTAATTGATCACATATGCATGAGTTTATTTCTGGGTTCTCTTTTCTGTTCCCTTGATCCATATATGTGTCTGTTTTAATGCCAATACCATACTGTTTTGATTACTATAGATTTGAAATATGTTTGAAATCAGGGAGCATGATGCCTCCAGCTTTGTTCATCTTTCTCAAGGTTGCTTACACTCATTAATTTTTTATGAAAAAAGCTGAGTATATTAATAAGAATGTTAAGCAGGCTTAACATGTTCACATGGTCATCAAAGTCAACTTTGGAAAACTTATACACAATAATGCAAAGACTAAGAAACCGTAGATTACTCTTTAAAATATTCATAGCTGATACACTGCTGATGCTGAATAGATGCAGAATGCCAAGTACATTTTTTCAATGAAATCTATTTCATAGCAAACCCCCATGGCACTCCATAGAGGGAATGAAGGGGGAGAAGACATTGTTCAGCAAATTTGATCATAAAGTGCAGCATAGCCCGGCCGGGCGTGGCTCAACAGTTGAGCATCAACCTAGGATCCAGGAGATCGCGGTTCAATTCCCAGTCAGGACACATGCCCAAGATGTGGGCTCA